GAAAAGAGAAGAAAATGCATTTTAAGTGAATAAAAGCATTGATTAACTTAACCGGTGAAAATGAATTAGTGATGCGAACAGCACTTTGAACATTTGTTACTATTTTTTAATTTCTTTAGTCGTCGGCTGAAACAAGTAACTAAGCCAACCGCAGAGCTCAGAGTCGGAAGAAAAGATTGCAGAAAATTGTGAATTTCTGTAAAGTAGGTGACTTTATGGAGCACCTTCGCCTTTCACATCTGCTACGCTGAATCAGAAAGTGTTGACTTTGACAGGAAGTCTTGGTATTGATACATCTCTTTATCTTATCCTTTGCCTACAAGGGAACTGTCAGTTGACTGAGTCTCCACTTAAACTGGGATGGACTTAACACCTGCTTAAGAGCAATGTTGCTAGTCACCAGTTGAGAAAGCGAATTGATGTGAGTTTCCAAATATTTGCATGCCCAGAGTGGTTTAGTTGTTGACACAAATGGTGCCAAAAATAGCAGCGTTAAATTAAAAGCAACCGTCATGCATGAGCAGCTTCAACGAAATGGCTACGCCATTTATGACTTCCCAACTCTGCAGGCCAAACTATACAATTATTTAGGAAGACAGATAACCACCTTGCATTCGCTGAAAAGCCATCATAATCACAAAGGGTGAATGCCCGATTCGAGAGGAGGTTTCAGAAGTGTTAAATACTCCAATACGGTGCTACTGTTTCTCCCCCTATGGGGCGCTTAGCACCCGGAATAATCCCCATTGTCACCTGATATTTCAATGTTGAGGTTGCTCCTGTTTGCAGAGGGCGAAAGTGCGCAACAGGCGGCTCATAAATGATAGCGACAATGCAAGCTTAAACATAAGTAATCATCAAATCATATTTCCAATATCAGACGAGACAAATTTCCCATCCTTTAAATTATGCAAAGGGGAATGAAAGAAGGGATGACGATTTCCGAACTGGTCAAGTGAACGTGGTTCACCTAATCCCAAAGCTCTGATGTATGTGAGCTTTCTGGAATTAAATATTTAAGGGCAATAATACTTTCTAGCTTTGAAATAAAAATGTCTTCTTGAAGATTTAATGGTTGGTGGGATTGCTGGATGACACCTTCTGACGGACAGATTGTTAGAGCTCAACAATAGCATCGCAGACCTCAAAGTCAATCAAACAATGTAGAAAATAGAGGGGAAGCAAAGTCACTTTACCATTTTCATTATTTTTAACATACTACTAAGCCTTTTAGTAAGGCGAATTAATGCGAAATAGCCTTGTAGAGCCAAAAAACAATGCGCAAATGTATGAGCATAACATAACTTGACCGTGAACAAAGTAAGACTTAAAAAATTAACCAATGAATTTTTAAGGCAATTAATATTTTTGGCACGTCAAAGTGCCTGTCGGTTTTCATCCAAGTGTTGGCGTTTCGTGCTTCATAAAAGAATGCCTCAACTCTTGGGAGCGGGAGAAAAATTCACGCTAGTCGCTTTGCCTCGTGCATTTGCTCACTGCAGTGCAAAAGTACTTTTCTCCCTGACCTCGCTTTGTGCAATCAGGATCACCTCTCCTGAACACGAAACTAAAATGGCCTGCTTGCCACCGTTCTGGCAATGCATCGTCAGTTAAGAGCCATTTGCTTCCTCAGCGCATCACGTCGCCAAACCGATTAGCCGGTCTTAAGTGTGCCATGGTGAAAATGGGACCGCCATCCTGTTCTCTCTCTCCCCCTCCATCTCGCCTTTCATTCATACATGTCAAACATTTAGGGCCAATATTTTTAGGTAGAGAATAACTGTTACGGTGGAAAGGCGATTAAAAGACTCAGGGGAGAAGCTTGGTTAATTACAATTGAATTCACTAATAGAAGTTAAAGAGGTTCATGAAAAGCAATTAACGAAGGCCCCGAATCAAAATGTGCTTTTGGGTTCACCTTAAAAGGCAGTTATCAGAAAGTACTGCATTCAATTTTTACTTAATTAAGCAGATTATGATAACAATTATGGCTTCAAATGAAGCACGAATTAAAATAAGTTGAGTAGATGATTAACAAAACTACTGGGGGTGGGTGTACTCACCTCCAAAGTAAGAGCCATCTGAGAGACTAGTAGCCACACGTCCATCGGTGTCAACAATATCAACGATGCCCTCCTGAATAAAATACATTTTGGTCCCCATCTGTCCTTCTTTGATGATCCAGTCGCCCGGTTGAAACACCTCGTATTTCAATCGCATTAGCACCTCTGAGACAAAGTGACGATCGGCATAGGTGAAAAAAGGAACGGCGGCAACCAGAGCTCTGCAGTTGTGATTCACGATTTGCTAAAAACAGGAATCACAGCTTACGCAAGCGTTCTAAGTCCCATGGATTAATTTCTAAACTCAAAGGGATCTTCTAAAAGGGCTTTAACAGGACCAGTCACGTGTAAAACTGTGAACACTGTACCAAAGTTCTCTTAAAAGCCTTTGGCTTTGCTCCAAATTACTTTTGTCAATGCTTACTTGTGTCCAATTATCCACCTACGACATGATGCAGTACTGAAGCTTCAAAATTTCGGTAGTGTTCTCAGAGTGATTAGCTCAGTGAACTTCTGACAGACCGACAAACGCACAAAGAAGAAATAAGTAGTAAAAATCACGAACGTAATAAAGTGGACAGATGGAAATTCGCAGAACACAAAACATAAATTCGCTTTTAATCTTTACTTATAAGTGTCAAAAGATTAGGGTGTCCATCAACTGCACAAGGCTTTGGGCTCAAATTGGACTCCTATGAATGCTCCATTTGCTCCAGAGGTGAGTCACACCTGCCATCCCCTTCTTGACATTTGGCACAAGGAGGAGTGCGAAATAGACATTGATGAAGTAGGAATCACTCCGAGGCACAGATCATGAAATGTTTGACACCCTGCGGGTACCTTGCCATTAGCCCCACTTAAGTGGTTGAAGTTAAATGAGCGCAAGGCATTACTTAGACGTTGGCGTTCCCCTTCCTCTGCACTCGGGCTTACATACAGGATTCATTAATGCTCTTCTCTGCAATCCATGTTTGAATGACAACGATGAGTTTGTTACAAAAGGAGACTACCATCGCTTTGATGAAATTAGTCCTATTTGAGGCAAACCAGGATTGCAAAAGTATGGGCAATGTTGGGATGCATGCGAACTCTTAGAGTTGGCACAAAAATTC